AATTTTCACACCACCCCTGCACTTCTGGCCTGTACCCCAGTTCTATATGCATAAATAAATAAGTCTTTTAAAAAATAAAAATAAAAAGCCCACTGACTCTTAGTGGGCTTCCCATCTTTTTGGACATCTGCAACTGAAATTTACCCCCAAATACACACCTCTAGGATTAGAAGTGGAGGAGGACATCTGGGTGAACAGCTCTTCCTCTCCAGATTCTAGATCAGGTCTCTAACACTGAATTCCACTTTATATTCACTTTTCTGCCAACTCTGCTTTGTTTCTTAGAAAGAATTGATTCAGAAGTTCAGACCTGAAAGAAAGATACTGTCTGATGACCTTTGACAATTGCCTGACCCTTTCTGTTGTAAAATGCCCACATTCTTGAGCTCTCTAAACACTGCTGCTAGCCCACTTCCACATTGTGGACTTCTCTTTTGGTGGTTCTGGTGAAGCAGACCTACATGAAATATGGCATCACATAATATTTAAATACTTCCTCATGTTAAAAAATTTGCTTAGTGTTGTATGTATTCAAATTCTCTTGTGAACTCTCTTTCAGAGTTATAGTTCTCTCAAGCCTGTCCCTTCCAGTCAGAGAATTTTGCAAGCTCCTAACTCTCCTGCTGCCTTCAGGCTACCTGCACCACACAGCCTGTGAACTGGGGCTCATCTTGACCCTTGTCAGGAGACTTGCCTTTAACACTTTCCTGGGTTAAGTCCTCGGTTTCTTGACTCTCACTTCCTATACCTTTTCACAGTTATCAGTGAACGTGAAATTCTTTAGTGAGTTCTTTCTGAAAAAATATATTTGACAAGTAAAGTTTTTAAATACTTGAAAATGTCTTTATTTGATCAAATCACTCTTACTCATGGTTTGGCTGGGTATGGAATTCCTGGTGTAGCCATTCTCTGTCAGACTTTTGATGATTCTGTTCCACTATCTTCTAGTTCCCAGTGTAATTGTTGAGCAGTATAATGTTTCTCTGATTCCTAATCCTTTGTCTGTTTCTTCCGTTGGAATGGTTTTAGGATTTTCTTTGTATCCTGGATGCTCTAAAAAAAAGTGTGATGATATTCCTCAAGATTGTGCATGGTAAGGTTGTGTGGGTGGGTGCTGATAGCAAGGGGCATTATGTGGCTGTAGGGTACTGGCTGAATTGGTTGCATATAAAATATCCACTCAAACATACCAAACTCCTAAGCTTTCATACTTTTCTTAGTTCTACCTACAAAATGCAAGTGATATTTTAGCATCAATCTCATTGATTATAGGCCACTGTTAAATTTACATTTCAATAAACCAAGGAATCAAACCTTAGTGCTACTCACTGGTGCTGAACATAACACATTTCATAATGAGTCTTGAGTTAGTGGATACATAATTCATACGTTTTGTCGAATGCAACCTTATATTTCATCCTTCTTGGTTTAATCATCTACATTCCATTTTTCTTTTAAGATGCATGTATGTATGTATAGAAGATCTGGAGTGTGGGTCAGAGGTACAGAGGGTGAGAGGATTCACCAGAGACAGAGTGGGGAGCAGAACAGGCAGATCTACTGAAATACACTGCTGAGGGGAGCAGCGAATGAGAAAGGAGAGGTCTGCTGTGCCATGTGGGTCAGCTCCCTGGCCAAGGATCAAACTCAAGCCGTAGCAGTGAGAATTGCTGAGACTTAACCCCTAGGAACTTAGGGAGGCCCCTAAATTCCAATATTCATTCCTATACATGATTCTCAGCTTCTTTTCAATACATATTGACAAGATATTCCAGCTCAGATTGTCATATTGAAGAACTAAATTTCCTCGGATCATTCTTGGAGACAGTTGTAGTCTTGACAGGAAACAGAATCCAACTTGGAACTGTTCAAGATACTCGCTACTGAATAGGTGTGGGCACATTAAGTAGCCAACTGTATTAGTGTGCCAGGGCTGCAAAACAAAGTGCCACAAATATGTCACTTAAACAATAGACACTGAAGGCTGGGAGCTCGAAGTCAAGGTGTCAGCATTGTCGCCTCCTCTGAAGGTGGTAGGGAAGGATTTCTTCCAGGTTTCTTTCCTGGCTTCTGGTAGTCCTTTAGTTTGTGGCAACATAACTCCAGTCTGCACGTGGTTTTTTCTCTGTATGTGTCTATATCCAAATTTCTCTTTTTACAAAGATACAGTGATGCTGGGTTAGGGCCCATCTTAATGACATCAGTGTCACTCAACTAGTTACATTTGCCATAGCCCTATTTCCAAAAAGATCATACACTGAGGTTCTGAGATTAAGACTTTACCATATGAATTTTTGGGGGCACAATCTAACCCATAACACCAAAAAGAGGTTCATAGGCACCCAGAGATGAGTGACAACGGGAAGCTGGGACCACGTGTGCTGCGCATTCTCTCAGTATTTCCCCTTCCAGATCACTCCTCCAGTCTTGACCACCTTACCTGTGCCTAGTACACTGATCTCTGCAGACTTTATCTTCTGGGATCCCTTGTCTTTTGGTTTCTATTTGACTTGCCTGAGAGGCAGTGGCAGGAGTCTCTGGGGTGGGGAGAAACAGGACATAGTAGTACCTCTTGGTCCCGTTGTCAGTCCCTCATAACTGCTTTCATAGATATCTCCTTCCATGTGTCTGTCATGTTTTATATATTTGGCAGATAATAAGAGCTTAGTAATGTTTAACTATGACTTAGTGTGTACAGAGGTTGCTTTGTTTCGAGGGATTTTTACATATTTACTAGTCACAGCTAACATTCACTGAGCGCTTATATGTATTCCAAGCACCTAAATATATTACACACCAGTTAGTGCCTATAAAGGAGATACTGTGATTATCTAGCTTTATAGTTGACTAGGCGGAGGCTCACTGAGATTTGTATCTTACTAACTTCAAGGTCACCCAGCTAACTAGCAGCAGGGAGGAATGCTGCTCTGGGAATGCTGCTCCAGGGCAGGCCCTTAACCATACTGTTGCAAGGGCTAGTGCCTTTCCTAGCGCCTTCCCTTATTTTTCTTCATAGTGAACACATACTCATTGTCTAAGTGCCAGTCAAGCGTCCACTGTTCTGTGAGGCTTTCTCAATTCCCTCCCTGTGGAACAGACTTCATTTTGTGCATTCCCACTGCTCCCACTGTGAAGTTCTTCAGAACATGACCCACCTCCCTTTCACCTCGGCCATGCTAGGGCCTGCTGCATGTCTGAAGAGGTGCCGGAGACTGATGCCAGAAGGAGTATTTTCTTGTCACCCCTGACCTCTCTGCCCTGGTGCGTCCAAATCCCCTTGATGATACCTGACTTCCTTCCACAGTGTTGTTACTCAGAGGATCCTGGGCAGGTGGCAGGGGTCTGCCAGTGCTGTACCACAGGCTTTCCTGGCCCCTCGCTGTCCTTGGCCCTGGGCTTGTAGATAGCTTCTCACCTGTCAGGTCAGCTCCAGCTTTCTGAGCTGATCTCTCTTGATCTCTGCAAACAGATTCCTTGGTGTGATTATAGTGAAGAGGTTTCACTCTGTTCCTGGCTGTCCTGCGGGGGTTTAATCTACTCCTCAGTTCTGTCCTGATTAACAGTGTGGCTTTATCAGCGATCTCTTTTTTAAAACTGGAGGGACATTTTGGTGGAGTTTTTCTATTTCCTCTTGCTAAGGTGGGATCTAACTGCCTTGCTATGGAGTTTGCTAAGAGGCCCCCAGCCTGTTCAAGGCCTGTGACCCATGTCTAGTTCTACATCTTTGAGTAAATACTCATTAAAAAAAAAAAAAAAAAAAAACAGGGCCCTCCCTGGTGGCGCAGCGGGTTAAAGTACAGCACTGAGAATCTAAAGCCGCTTCCGCATGAGTTCGATTCCCGCCTGCCCCGGAAGTGGCCACATGGCGTGGCAGACCTCTCCTGACCCGCCCGCTGCTCCCCTCAGCAGTGTACTTCGTCGATCTGCCTGTTCTGTTCCCCACTCTGTCTCTGGTGAAGCCTCTCACCGCCCCTGAGCCTCTGGCCTATACCCCAGTTCTGTATGCACAAATAAATAAATCTTTAAAAACAAACAAACAAAAAAAACAAAATCCCCTCTGCATTCCTGTCGTTTTCTTTACTATCACTTACTCCATTATTTCCTAGCATACGGTTCTCTCAGAACAAACATGACTGGTTTCATTCTTGCGTAGGACATACACAGGTCCCTAGTAGCCATTCCCTGGAGGGGTGAGGGGGCCGGTCAGCGGGGAGCTTGTTCTGTTAGCAGCCTGAGGGCCCTGCAGCAACACCCACCCCTGTAGCAGTTCTCGGGATCCCTTATGCGAGTATTAAAAACATATGCTAAGCATTAAAAACACTGGGGAAGTATTGTTTAACATTTTTAATGTTATTCTTTTTATTTGTGAGACTGTCTTTTTGTTAAATGTTTCGTGATTCCAAACACACCTGGATTTTCTGGCATGCATTCTGTTCCCCAAAAGAGAAGTGCCCTAGGTTGGGAAACCTGCAGCTGTGAGAACAGAAGTCTTAGGCTAAGGTGCAGGGTGACCACCGCGATCCTGAGCTCCCTCCCAGGAGGGGCGGAGGAGGGGAGAAGAGCCGCCGCGCTCCGCTAGCCCGCAGGGAGAGGAGGGGGGGATCTGGCAGCCGGGATAGGACTTCCTCCCTCCACTCCGGAACTGTGCGCGGGAGCGGCTGGGATTCGGAAACCCCAGCGGCGCCGCGGGAGCGGGTGGAG